CAGGAAGGACGGGGCTGTGAGTGATGTCACAGCAGTGCGCAGAGGGTCTCCACAGAACCTAAACAGGGCCATGCCCACCTGGATGCCCTGAGGAAAGACCTTGGGCTCTACCGTGCCCACAGCTGAGCTGCCCCAGCCCAGGGGACACCGCAAGCTCCCATCTCAGTCAGGGCTTCCCAAGAACTACAGACAGGGAGCCCCTCCAGCCCTCCTGCCCCCAGCCCCACGCCGGTGGCACCGGGAGGCCCCGAAAGCCCAAGGCAAGGGGTGGTGCAGCCCCACCTGCTCGCTGGCCAGGAAGAGGAGGACGTGGCCGGGCTCCTGGCGCCGGTGGATGTCCAGCACAGCCTGGCAGGCTGCCGCGACGCGGCCGTGGGTTGGGACATCCCTGTAGAGCAGCTGTGGGGGCGGCCCGGCTCCAGGCACCCTCACCACGGGGGGATCCCCGCAGAAGGCGCGCAGCCGCTCCTCCATGGCCGGGGAGGTCACCACCACCACCTTCAGCTCCGGGCGTTGGTGCAGGACGTCCTTCAGCAGCCCCAGCAGCACATCTGTGGGCACCGTGCGCTCCTGGGCCTCGTCCAGCACCACCACCCCGTACTGCCGCAGCAGGGGGTCCGACGTCATCTCCCGCAGCAGCATCTCGTCCGAGCAGAACCTGCGCGGCCCGGGCCCGTCAGGGGGTGGCCGTGCCTGCAGACGTCCCCAGGGGAGCGAGCCTCTCCCACCCAGCACTCGCCCTGCCCGGCTGCCTTAATGAGGCCACGGGGGATTAAACGATTACGCCACGGCCGGGGAGCCGAGCGGGATTAGAACGGCACGGCGGCACGGGGCCCCCATCCCCGCACCTCAGGACGGTCTCCGCGGTGCAGCAGTCCTCGTGGGAGACGCAGTAGCCAACCTCGTGGCCCAGGTTCAGGTCCATCTCGTCGGCCACGCGCAGCGACAGGCTGAGGGCGGCCAGGCTGTGGGGCTGGGTGCAGGCCACCAGGCCGTGTGCAAACTGCAGGGACAGGGCGTAATCGGCGCACCACTGCGGGACCTGCGAGGGGACGGCGCTGGTCGGCGGCCTGGGCGCTCCACAGCCATCAGCCAGGGCTCTGCACAAAGCAGGGGCACCCGGCACCTCTCACAGCCGCTCCTGCCCTGGTGATGCTGCACCCCAACCCACCGCGGCCTTTGCAGGGAGCTGCGAGGCCTCACCACCCTCTGCCCAGAGCTTTCTGCCCTGATCCTCGCATTAAAGACACGGGACAACCACCCTCTCCACCTCTACCTCGTCGCTTCTTACTCCCACTCGAGTCTTGGCTGCTCACCTCCTTCCTAGCAGGGAAATCATTCCTCCCCTCATCACTCCCCATTGCCTGTTTCCACATGTTTCCAGTCCTGCTATGCTCAGTTTGTGACTGGAGAGCACGTGCCCCAGTCCACGTTAGATGGGGCTCCTCCGAACCAGCCCCTTACTCCCCTGCTGTAGCCAGACACGCCTGCCATTTAACTGCAACACAGCAGGCTCCTTGCCCACATCCTGCAGCATGCAGTACCTGCAGGCGGGTGCCCTCGAGCGGCAGGGATCTGCCCCCAAAGCCACTTGCAGAGACCCACACACAGCCCTGCAGGGGCCGCAGCCCCCAGCCCTGTGCCTGGCTGTGCCCCCTCGCATCACCGCTGTGCACAGCTCAATGCCCCCTCCTCATAAGGACCGGCACAGAGCACAGTCAGCCACAGAAACAGCAAAGGGACGCAGCCTGAGCATCAGCTCTTCCCCCTTTGGGCAGCACACCAATCTGCAGTGTGCTGCACACCAAGGGATGGGATCAGACGCTCCGCATCTCCCCATCTGCTGGAGGTGTGGTGGTTCCAGGACCCACATGGTGCCTGCACCCGAGGGCAGCCCAGCCCCAGGGCTACCAAGCACTGGGTGAGGCCCCTAAAGGGGGCTCCTCGCTGGCTGTGCCTCACGCTGAACCTCAGCTGAGCGCTGCAGCACGGCTGCACCCAGTGGCTCAGAGCCCTGCAGCCAACGCCCTGATAAACCCAGCGACCGGCAGCTGCTGAGCTTTGATCCAAACGGCAGCCGGCCCTGTGGAGGCTCATGGTTACCCCTGCAGCTTCCAGGCGATACCTTCACAGGTCAAAGTCTGCGTGATGACATCCTCAGGTGTTGTGTCAGAGGAGCACAGATGGGACGCGCTACCCCTGCTCCATGGGGAGGCCCGGTCCTGGCACCGTGTGCCAGCTATCGCCCAGACTGACCATCCCTGACTATCGCACCAAGCCAGCAAGAGTCCCAGCCCTCTCCCAACACACGGGTGGCAGTGCCTCCCCAGCTCATGCAGAGGCACTGCCTGAAGCCAGCACTCCTGCCCTGGCACATCCAGCACTGCACTCAGTGCTGTTTGCCCGCCGCAGTGGGGCTGGCAATGCCACCCAGGGGGCCATCCGCTGCATCAAGGCCAAAGCAGAGCCCAGGGCTGCAGGACGTTCATGCAGCAACAGGATCAGTGTGTGGGAAGGCTGCTGCCCTGGCACGGGACGCGGCGTCTCCTGACAGCAGCACCACAGTTGCTCCGTGTAAGAAGGACGGCGCTGCTGAGGGAGCACTGCAGCACAGCACAGCACAGCACAGCCCTGTGCCCATCTCAGCAGCAGCACGGCCCCAGCCTTCCCGCTCACCTGTGTACTCTTTCCTGTGCCGGGTGGCCCAGACACCAACACAATGCCGCTGCTGCCCTCCAGGTGCTCCATGAAGCTGTACTTGGTGGTCCAGACTGGCAGCTCCCGCCGCTGCCGCAGCAGCTCGTAGTAACGTGAGGAGAAGGGCAGGCCATCGTACGGATTCACCTCCAGGTCCCCGTCGCAGCCCAGGGCTGGGTCCTCATCCTCCTCCTCATCCTCCAGCACTGAACCGGAGCCGTTCTGCCGTGGCGGGGAACTCGAGGCCCCGCCGGTGGCCATGGCGCTTCCACTACAAGGGGCAGGTGGGAGGTGGCACAGGGACACCCTGATGCCTGCAGGGTGTGGGGACATGGGGGACAGCCTGGGGCTGAGCCACCCTCAATGGGATGTGAGGGGGTGGGAGGGCCCAGGACAGGGACCGGCATGGACTGGGTACGGGGACAGATGGGGCCGGGCTGGGACAGAGGGGGGCAGGGGCGCATGGGGATGGGGGCACACAGGATGGGGGCACATGGGATTGGGGGCACACAGGGATGGGGGCACATGGGATTGGGGTACATGGGATTGGGGCGCGGGATGGGGGCACGCGGGGGCGGAAGGCTGTGGAGCTCAGGCCGGGCCAAGCGACCCGGAGCGCAGCGCACGAATGAGGCCGGGCACAGCCGGGGGTCACCGGACCGCACCGGAGGGGGACGTGGGCAGCGGGTCGGCCCGAAGGAAAGGGGGCACCGCGGGTCCGTTCGGTTCCGGTTCCGGTTCCGGCCCGGCCGCCGCTCACCTGCGCGCGCCGCCGCCACCTCGGCCCTGCCTGGAGCAGGCGTCAGGTGACCGCGGCGTCGTCACGTGGCCTTCGGCAGCCGCCAATCAGCGCCGCCCCTGCCGCCCGGCGGCGCGCGGTCCGTTACTAAGGGCGGCGTCTGCGTGGCAACGGGCGGCTCTGGGGCGGGCGGCCAGCACGGAGCGCGGCGAGAGCCCGGCGCGTCCCGTCCGGCACCGCTCCGGTGCAGCGTCCCGAGCCCGGCGCCCAGACCGGAGCCCTCGGTTCCCGGCTCGGGGCCGCCAGGTGGGGCTGCGGGGCGGCCCGTCCCCTCCGAGCGGCGGCCGTGGGAACGGCTTGGCCCGGCCGTGCTCGTTTGTGGCGCGGTTCGCCCGCGAGCCGTTCGATTGCGATTAAAGGCCAAAGGTGTTCAGAGCCGCTTTCATTCCGCTCGGCCGCGCCGTACGAACGCGCCGGGTGTTTCGTGCCGAATCTGCGGATGCGTTTCGTGCCGCAGCGGACGGGGCGGGGCGAGAGCGGGGCTCCGAGCGGCCGGGATGGCGGGAACGGGGGCTGCGGGGCTGCGGGGCTGCGGGGAGCCCGGCGTCGGTCTGCCGGGCGCTGCCGGCCTGGGCGGCGCCGCCTGCTGGGTGGGAAACCCTGGGTGCGGCCGGAGGGCAGCGCGGAGCCGCGGGGTGCTGGCAGGCAGGGACGGGGCGGTGAGCGATTGTCCTGCGCTGCGCTGCTCCGCGCTGCTCTTGTCCGTCCGTCTGCAGCACTGCATCCAGGTCTGGGCCCTTCGGTACAGGAAGGACAGGAGGGGGTCCAGAGGAGCCACAGAGATGATCGGGGCTGCAGCACCTCCCTGTAAAGCCAGGCTGAGGGAGCTGGGCTCGTTCAGCACGGAGAAGAGAAGCTGCGGGCTGAGCTCAGTGCAGCCTGCAGTGCCTGAAGGGAGCCTGCAACCAGGAGGGGAGGCAGCTCTGTGCAAGGGGAGATGGCAGCAGGACGAGGGGAAACGGCTGGGAGCTGAGGGAGGGCAGCTTGGGGTTGGGTGTCAGGGGAAGTTGTGTGCTGTGAGAGCGGGGAGGGGCTGGAACAGCTGCAGAGAGGCTGTGATGCCCCGTCCATCCCTGGAGGTGTTGGAGGTTGGATGGGGCCCTGGGCAGCCTGGGCTGCTGTGCAATGGGGAGGTTGATGGCCCTGCATTGATGGGGGTTGGAGCTTCGTGATCCCTGCTGTCCCTTCCAACCCGGGCCGTTCCGTCATTCTGTGAGCTCCCCGAGCCGGGCAGGCGGGCACCGAGAGCGGAAGGCAGGCGGCGGTGCTGAGCTGTTGCTCCCCCGGCCGCTGGGTGCTGCAGGAGAGCAGCGCCGGGCTCGGTCCTGGGCGCTGCGCTGAGGTTCGGGGGCGGGTTGGCCGCAGCCGGGGGCGCGGACGGCCCCGTGCTGCTCGCTGTGCCCCGGGCTCCGGCCCGCCGTCCCCGCTCCGGGCACCGCGGCGTCGCTGGGGTTGGGAGGCTCCGAGTCCTGGCGTAGGCGGCGCGGGAGCCGTTGTCCGGTGTCCGGTGGGTGCCGGGCTGCGGTTGGGCCCCGAGGCGCCCGGCGGGGTGTTGAGGAAGCAGAGGTTTGCACAAGCCGGTGGGGTGCACGTGACCCGGGGAGCGAGGCGGGAGGAACCGGCAGCGCCCCGTGCAGCGCCTCGGGTCCCCGTGCTGCACGGCTGGCCATGGCCCCCTGGCTGCCCACCAAGGAGGAGAAGTATGGCGTGGGTGAGTGGGGCCTCGGTGGCTGAGCAGGGAGCCGGGGCTGCGGGGTGAGCAGCGCTGGGGCGGGGCGGAGGCGATGCTCGGTAGTGAGAGTTGGGGGCCGGGTCCCCACGGCGCTGCCGCTGGTTTTGGAAGGTCAGGGGCTGCGGGATGAAGTGTGGAGTGGACGGGGGCTGCAGGGCCGGTGGTGGGATGGGTTGGGAGTCGTGGAGCCGGGGGCCGAGCGGCAGGGCAGCGTTGAGGCTGCGCCTTTCCGAGGCTCCGTGCAGGATCTGTCCTCCTCTCTGTGCTGGGCTCAGCCTGGATGTTGAACCATGCTCGGCTCCAGGGCTCTTCAGCTCGTTAGTGACCGGTGCCATGGACTGTGCTCATTTCTGATCTGCCTGTGGGGAGGTGCCTGTGCAGCCCAGAGTCAGCCCTGCCATTTGCCCCTGGGCCGACTTGGGGCTCTGCTCCCAGTCCCTGCTCCTGGTCCCTGCGGCGGCTGTGGCAGAGCCCTGGCAGCCTCAATCCCTGCCCTGGCCCCACTCAGCCTCCCTGCAGCACCATGAGGAACTTCTCTTTACGCCACTCCCGCCCTCCCTGCTCTGTGCCTCTTCCCCTTTCTGGAGGGGCCGTTTCCCAAGCCCCTGCCCTGTGCTGCAGGGGGGGTCTGCCAAGGACCCTCTGGGCTGTCCTGTGGGAGGCCTGGGCCCGGCAGGGGGGCGAACAGAACTGGGGCCAGGGGCTGTGCAGGATCCTCGTGCAGAGAGCAGGAAGGGTCTGTGGGAAGCTGAGGGCCTTGGAGCTGCGAGGAGCCAGCACGGCCATGGGGCTCCAGCTGGGGGTCCCGGATGAGCCACGCAGGTCTGTGAGCGCTGCAGTCCCTGGGATGCAGGCTGGAGGGCTGAGTGAATGATGTGAATGAGGTGTGAGCAGGGTCGCAGCAGGGAGCCACCAGCTGCAGGCACATCTGTAGGGACGGTCCCCTGCGCAGGGTGCCGCCCGTCCTGCGGTCAGGGCTGCCCCCTCCCGGAGCCGCAGAGGAGCCGTTGCTGTGCAGAAATAGCAGCAGGAGAACCGCGGCCGCTGCTGCAGCAGGAAGCACCCCGTGCTGCTGCTCGCCCTGCGCAGGGCTGGGACTCTGTGCCGCGACCCCCAAAGCTCAGGGCTGAGCGATGCCCGGAGAGGTGGCTGTACCCCTATGTGGGGGTCGAGTGAGAGGGACATGGCTGCAGGGCCTCCGCTGGGCGGGGGCAGGACGAGGAGCCCCTGCTCACAGCTCCTGGCCCCTGTCTCTGCAGCCGTGTGGAACTTCCCCAGTGCCAACGAGCATCACCTCCCACTGGAGATTGGGGAGACGGTGCACATCCTGCAGGCGTCCGAGGGTAAGGGGTCCCGGCTGGGCTAGGGCTGAGCTGCACTCGGCCGGGGGTTGCCTGGCCCCAAGCCTGGCTCACGGTGAGCTCCTCCCTTCTCTCGCAGGCTGGTACCGCGGGTACTCGCTCAGGAACAGGGCTGCTCGGGTAGGTGAGGGGCACGGGGGGGCTCAGCCAGCCCCGGCTGTGTGGGTACCCGCTGGGGACACCGAGGGGACGGGGACCCTTGCGGGGCGCTCACTCCTCGGGAAGCCCCCGGCCCGTACCTACCGACACCGCTGATTGCTGCTCCCCAGGGCATCTTCCCGGCCTCACTGATCCGCCTGAAGGGCGCGGTGGTGGAGCGCAGGGGGTAGGTATGGGGCGGAGGGGCAGCCGCGTGCCGGCAGCGGGCGCTGCAGGGCTCTGTGCGCTCCCCAGGGCGGAGGAGAGCGTGGTGCCCACCGAGATGCCCATGGTGCAGGAGATCACCACCACGCTGCGGGAGTGGGCCGCCATCTGGAAGCAGCTCTATGTGGTGAGGAGAGGTGGGGGTGGGGGAGCACGGGACGAGGTTGGGGCTGGGGGTGACCCTGCGCACGGCGCTGCCCACAGACGGGGCAGGAGGAGCGGTACTGCAGGGTGAAGCAGATGATGTACGAGCTGATGGAGCAGCGCTCGCAGCTGCTCTCGGGTACGCTGCCCAAGGACGAGCTTCTGCAGCTCAAGAAGGAGGTGACCAGCAAGATCGACTACGGCAACAAGTGAGAGGGGAATGGGGCTGTCCTCATGTCCCCGCTGAGCTGGGGTGGCGGGGACAATGCTGTGCAACCCACCTCGCCAAGAGCTATTGCTGAGGGCCCTGGGTTGGGGCAGAACGCATCCCTGGTGCTACTGCTGTTCCCGCCCCGCTGCTCTGCTGCTGGCTGTGATCTCCAGGACTGTCCTGCCCCGTGCCGTGCTCACGGCCCCCGCCTGCAGGTCCCGGAGGGACACACAGCCCCACATACAGCCCAGCCGGGCTCTGGGTCCCATCTCACCCCCTCTGCAGGATCCTGGCGCTGGACCTGGTGGTGCGGGACGAGGATGAGAACATCCTGGACCCCGACAGGACCAGCATCATCAGCCTGTTCCAGGCACACAGGAGGGCAGCACAGACCGTCACGCAGCGCATCCAGGAGGAGACGGTGAGGGTGGCACAGATCCCAACGTGCCACGTGCCCACGGCGCTGCACACAGCCCGTGCCCCACAGCCCTGAGCTGCGTGTGGGGCTGAGCAGCCTCGTGCCCCGCAGAGCTCGCAGCAGAGCCAGCCGGGCTGCAGCGCACGCCTGGCGGCTTCGCCCTCGCACAGCCTCTACCTCTGCGTGCGCAACTTCGTCTGCAATATCGGCGAGGAGGCGCAGCTTTTCATGGCTCTGTACGACCCGGCAGAGCAGCGCATGATCAGGTGCGGTGCTCCCCCCGCCCGGTGGGGCCGGGCTCCCGTCCCTCTGTGCCCTCCGTGTCCGTGCGGGGCGCCCCGGCCCCTCTGCGGGCTGCTCACACCGTTCCCTCCCAGCGAGAGCTACGTGATCCACTGGGCCAGTACGGGCGTCCCGCGGGACATCGAGCTGCTCAACAACCTCCGGGCCATCTTCACGGTGAGCCCCTGCCCTCGCCCACCCGCTCTGGGTCTGTGCCTGGGGGATGGCGCACATCCTCTCCACCTTGCTGCGTTGCAACACCCCCTCGATGCGGCGCTTGGGATGCACTGGGGCGCTGTGCGTGCAGGGATCCCCAAGCCTGTCACGGTCCGCATCCCCCCCATGCATCCCACTCCCAGTTCTGCCCCTCTGCACGCTCTCTCCCGTCCCCCTGCGCCCCACTCCATGCCCTCCCCCGGCCCCGTGCCCACCCTCACCCCGCAGTCAGGCTCGTCCCGGTTTCGGTTGCCTGCAGTGAGCCGGGCGAGGAGCAGCTCCTGCTGACTGCGCAGGTTTCTGCTGCTCGAGCGAAGCTGCGCTGACCCTCAGGACGGCCCGAGCCATCGATATGCAAATGAGCCGGGAAATCAATGTAAATGAGCAGCATCAGCACTTCCAGCCGCGCGGTCCAACTCCCCCAGCACTCGCTTCCCTCCGATCCCTGCCTGCGGCTGGCGCTGCGTCCCTGAGCCGCGTTCCCGTGCCGCAGCCCCGCAGGAGCAGAGCCCATGGGATCTGGCCTGGCCGCGGTGCCTGGGGTTGGGGTGGACGGCTGCTCCCCAGGCCCAGCAACGCGTCAGATCTGTCCCACCTCGAGGTGCTGTCCGTGCCATGGGGACTCCCTGAGGCCATCGTCTCCATCAGCCCACGCTGTGTTGTGCATACAATCCACGGAGCAGCTTTGTGCCCTCTGTGGGGCACAGCAGCAATCCCTGGCCCGAAAAGCAGAGCTCTGCAGCAGCTCTGCACCCCATGAACCGCACCCCCAGTTATCCTCGCAGCTCGCCGTGCCCTCCTGGCAGCAGAGCATCCTCACTCAATTCTCACACCCTGCTGTGCTCCCAGGACCTGGGCAGCAAGGACCTGAAGCGGGAGAGGCTTTTCCTGGTGTGTCAGATCATCCGGGTGGGCCGCATGGACCTGCGTGAGACCCTCAGCCGCAAGCTCAGCACCGGGCTGCGGCGGCCCTTCGGCATCTCGGGTGAGGGGGGCTCAGGGTGGACCCTGACACCACACCAACCCCACGGGCAGCTCCCAGACCCTCACCGCTCTGCCCTGTTCCCTCCGTGCTCACTTTTCCCCATCGCCATCACTGCAGTGGCTGGGTCACGCAGGTGGTGCCAGCAGAGCCCCCCCAGAGCAGGGAGCCCCATGGAGAGGGGAGTGCAGGAGCTCCCCGCACCCCACCCTGCCCTGACAAATGCTGCTGCTCTGGGTATTGATCCTCTTTGGATGGGCTTGGTAGGAAATTATCGATTTTAATGGGCCAATTAGCGTGCACTAGGATCTTGGCTACGAAGCAATTACCAGGTGAATTATTAACATACCGGCGGCTAATTGCGCTCTGAGCCGAGCGTGTCTCTGGGGAGGGAGCAGATGGATGGTCCTGGTGCAGCGGTGCAGCTCCCTGTCCCTGCTGCCTGCGGCTGCCACAGGGCTGGGGGTGCCACCAGTGTGACCACACAGACCCCATGGCAGCCCTCCCTGACACGGCATTGGGTGCAACCCCAACAGAACTGCGGGCACAGCATGAGTCCCTGCCCAGAGCCCCGTGTGTCTCGGTGCCACCCAGCACCAGGGGGCAGAGGGGTCCTTGTGGGACACGGTGACATCCCTGGGAGCAAGATCCGTGCTGGGATACAGGGCAGGGTTGTGGCTGCAGAAGGGGCAAAGCAGTCCCTGGGTGCATGCAGGAGGGTTTGGCACAGGGGTCTGTGGTACCGGGGTTGCATCCATGGCTGCTGTGTCTGTACCACTGCAGTGATGGACATCACCGACATCACCAAGGGGAAGTGTGAGAGTGATGAGGACAAACAGCACTTCATCCCTGTGCACCTGTGAGTCCTGGGGCTGAGGGCAGGCAGCGCTCTGGTGGCTGGGCTGGCGTGGGGACAGTGGTGGCACAGGGACAGCAGGAGTGCCAGAAACAGAGAGCAGATACTGCTGGGAACTTGGGCTTTGCAAAGAGATTGCGCTTCCCTGGAGCACTGTGTAATCAGGATCAGGAGCTCTGTGGGGTTAGGAGAAAGGGCACTGGTATGGCCTGTGGGATACTGAGGGATACGGACCTTCCTGGAGCCCCACTGCAGGCTCCACTTTGTGGGTGTGAGAGTGCTGTGGTTCACCCCAAACCAGCCCAGGTGCTCTCCTGCACCTCCCTATGGGGGGCCTTTGCAGCAGGCGGGTGGGGAGCCATGGGGTCCGGCTTGTTTTGCTGTTGTGGTGGAGAGCAGCGGTGCTGTGTGAGCCCTCCCAGCTCCTTCTGCTGTCTGGCAGGGCGACCGCCGAAAACGACTTCCTTCACAACATGATCAGGAAAGCAGTGGAGGGGAAGGACATCAACCACAAAGGACAAGGTAGCAGCCCCCCCCCCCCCAACCCAGTAAACCTGCAGCAGCCACAGGTCGTGATCACACTCCTGCATGGAGCAGGGCTGTGCTTGGAGCTGTCCTGGCAGTTGGGATCAGCCCTTTGGGGGCAGGGGGGGATCACTCACCCCAGCACACCTCAGGGCTGTGCCCCGTGGGAGCAGCTCTGGCTGCAGCTCGGGCCGAACTGGCACCAGCCATGGGGCTGACAGCCCTCACTCTGCTCCCCACAGGGTTCTGGTTGTCTCTGAAGATGCTGTGGGGAGACCTGAACCAGGTGCGCAAGGACCACCCGCACCTCGTGGACCGCAGCACGGTGGTGGCACGCAAGCTGGGCTTCCCGGAGGTCATCATGCCAGGCAAGCAGGGAGCAGCAGCGTCCTGCTCCATCCTGCAGCGCATCACTGGCTCAGGAGATGGGCGCAGCAGCAGCGCTGTGCAGGGGGAGGGGAGGGCAGTGAGCCCGGCGCGCTGTTGGTGCCGACCCCGAGGCAAAGCAGGGCAGGGGGGGCTGGCGGTGCTGGCTGCAGCGGGACCCGGCTCACTGAGTGCACTGCTTCTAGGGGACGTCCGGAATGACATCTACCTGACGTTGGTGCAGGGAGAGTTTGACAAGGGGAACAAGAAGACGCAGAAGAACGTGGAGGTGACGGTGTGCGTCTGCGACGAGTCGGGCAGCGTGGTGCAGGTATGGTGAGCAGCGACTGCCCCACGCTTTCTGAGCAGGGGCAGGGCAGCAGCTCTGTGCCTGGAGTGGCCCTGGTGGCAAAGCGGTGCTCCTGAGGTTGTCCTTCAGGATAAAGCCTTGTGAAGGTGGTGGGAAGGGGCAGACCCAGCCTCTCCCACCTCCGTGCGCCCGCTGCCTCGTCCCTTTTGCAGGGTGTTTGCTTTCATTGCAAACTGTTCTTATCTGGCCCGTGGGAACAGGTTGTTAATTAGCGAGGCGCCCGCTGGGCTCCTGCAGAGATGCAGTCCCCATCTCTTTCTGCCTGTGATAACGAATTTCCTATGGGGAGGTGGAATTCCAACCCTGAGCGCTACTGGAGGCGTGTTGTCCCTTCGCACCGCCTCCTGGAGGCTGCGGCAGCGCCGCTGTGGGGCTGTGGCAGATGGGGACGGGGCAGCGTTTGGCTGGGAAGGGATGCTCCAAAGCAGGTCCCCGCACTGCCTGGGCTGCGTGGGAGCAAGGCGGCTGTGGGGGTTCTGGACCCCTCTGGTGCTGTCTGTACTGGGCTGTGCCTTTGCGTCCTTTGCTCTGTAAGTCATGTAAGGCTTGCTGGGAGCTGAGCACGAACATCTCTCTGCAGAATGTGATTTACCACGGGGCAGGGGACAAGCCGGCCAGCGAGTACCGCTCTGTGGTGTACTACCAGCAGCGGCACCAGCGCTGGATGGAGACAGTGAAGGTCTGTGCTGGTCGCACCAAAGCCCCGGCCCCTCACCAAGCAGGGGGTCAGGACTGGCCGAGGGACTCCAGCCCTTCCCTGCTGCGCTCACGTGGGTTCTTCTCCCTCAGATTGCAGTTCCCATTGAGGACGTCCACAAGACCCACCTGCGGTTCACCTTCAGGCACCGCTCCTCCAGTGACAGTAAGCGTTGCTCTGCGCGCTGCTCTGCTCCTGGTGCCGCCGGGCTGTGGTGAAAGGGCTCTGGCCGTGTGTGGGGTTCAGAGGCAGGAGCCACACAAGCAGCTCTTGCCCTGTTCTGCTGTGGGGACGCACCAGGGCTGCTGTGAGACCTGGAGGAAGCGAGCTGCTGTCCCTGGTTTGCTCTGTCCCAGCTGCCGTGCAGAGATACAAACCTCAGGATGACTCCACCTCTGCACAGCAGCTCCTGGGCTCTGTGCTGGCACTACCTGGGCCTCGTGGCCGTGGGCTGCAGGGAGCAGAGGGGCTGCTGTCAGCTGCTTTGCAGAGCTGAGAATCAGAGGCCATGAGATGGTGCGGCTCTGTGCACCTTCCTGTGGGCTAATGTAGGAGTGGGAGCAACCCACAGCTGCAGAGCTGGGCACGAGAGCGGCCTGGCATGTCCCAGCTGCAGGGAGGGTGCCCGGGGCGGTTGGCTGACTCTATCTGCACCGAACCCATAGGCATGCAGTCCCCACCTCCCCTCTACTCCTCTGTTCTTGGTGTTCTCTCCCTCCCTGTCTCATACCATTGCTGCAGCTGCGTGCATCAGTGCATCTCGTGGTGCTCCGGTGGAAGGCAGCGATGGCCTCAGCACAGCAGCCCTGCACGGCTGCACCCACCCTGTGCTGCCTCCACCTCCATCTCTGTGCCCTTTTCTCTCCCAGCTAAAGACAAAAGCGAGAAGATTTTCTCCATGGCCTTTGTGAAGCTGATGCGCCCTGATGGCACCACGCTACGTGATGGGGAGCACGACCTCATCCTGTACAAGGTAGGGCAGAGCGGCCCAGGACTGCGCCCACAGCCACGTGTGCAGGGTCCCCATGTCCTCCTGTCCTCGTGGGCCCCACCACGGCTCTCTGCACACATCATCTCTAACCCCGCTGTGCGCATCAGCGGTGCCAAGTTTTGTTTAGGAAAAGGAACTTGAATGTGTCAGCCCCAGCAGGGAGCGTCCTCACAGAGGGATTTGCTGCGTTTTACCTGATTTCACCGGGGTTTGTCGGCTTAAAACCGCCGGGTCTGTTTTTCTTCTGAGAGCACAGAGGAAATGTGAGGAGGGGAGGCTCGCTGTTGGTCAGGAGAGGCGCGGTTGGCTGATGCTTGCAGCCGGTGCTCTCCTGTGCTGCGATGAGCTGAATCTGCCACGGCCATGGGGAGCAGTGGGGCTGCACCCCGGGCTCCTGCCCTATGCACCCCCAGACCGTTGCAGGAGGTGATTCAGCCCCCCAGCATTTAGCTGAAGTTTTCTGTGGTCTCACCGCTATCCCTGGAGGTCACCGCCACCTCTCTGGGCAGAACCAATTCCCCACACAGGTCCCTGTGGGTTGGGAACGCTCAGCTGCCATTGCTGTGCAGCCTCATCCAGCCTTCCCCATTGCTGTCTGCACCACAGAGGGTTCCTCCTCTCCGTGCTCACATCCCTGTCCTTTCCCATTCGCCGTCCTGGGGCCTCAGCGCTCCTCCCGTGGAGCGGCGCCCCAGCAGCAGCCACCAGACACTGCTGCCACTGCTGCTCTCCTGCCCACGTCTGCACATCACTGCCCCTACTTGTCCTCCCACCCATCCCCTGTGGCCCAGCCCCCCCCAGCCGTGTGCTGCCTGCCCGGAGCTCCGGCCCAGCGCTGCCCTTCTCTCTGCTCACTCATTTTGCTGATTCCTGACCTCCCACCAGCGCTGTGCTTTTCTTCCCCAGAAGAAAAAATGCATTTGAGATCTGTTGTCTCCTCCTTCCTCTGCACGCTATTTGGGTAGAGCACCCGAATTCGTTCGGCGCTGCTGCAGGCGCGCTCTCCTGGGCCCTGCGCTGTGTCCCCACGCACAGCAGCCCCTCCTGCCTCCAGGGCGGCGTGGAGCAGACAAAGCCTCGCACATCTCCCTGCTGTGCGCACTTTCTGCTTTTCAAAGAGTTGCTGCTGCCCTCGCTGACCCCGCTGCTGTCCGCAGCCTCTGAGCAGCGTTGCTGTGCTCTGTGCTGCCCTCCCTGTCCTGCAGCTTTCTGCTCCTCCCAGCAAACAGCGGGTCGGGCTCCGGGAGGCAGAAGATTTCATCTTTGTTTGCCGGAGGAGCGTGAACTCCATCCTCACAGCTCCTCAGACCTCTTCGTCTGTGCTGGAGGGAGATGTGTGCGTTTGAGCCCACCACCCCTCGGGCTGTGCTGCCCTTGGCCTGCAGCTGGGCGCAGGGTTTACACACCGAGGGGAAAAGCAAACCAACACTTCTGCAATCTTTGACCTTCAGAAGAAGAGAAGTTTGCTGGGCAGGGTGGCAACCAGGGTACCAGGGTAAAGACAAATGTTCGCTGCTGAGCTCAGAGCTCTGGGCACCAGCGGTCCGTGGGACTCCGTTGTCCCCCTGGGCTGGTGGCACTGCTGGGCCGTGTCCTTGAGGTGGGTAATGGTGACAGCAGTGGTTCCTCAGCCTGTCCCACCTGTGCAGGACCCTGCTGTGTGCCCACCGTCATGGTGCAACTTGTGCATGCAACTCTTCCGTTGCTCACTGCTGCTCCAGCCCTGCAGCCCTCACTGCTGCCCTCTCCCTGATCTGCTGACATCTCCCCCTGCTCTCCTACCCGCGTTTTGCCCCCCATCTGCACCAGCTGGAACACAGCCTCCTCTCCCTGCACGCAGGTCCCTGTGCAGCTCTATGAGAAGCGAGCTGCTCTGTGCATGTTAAGCTCAGAGGAGCCCTCAGAGCGCTGATTCCGGGTTGCAGTGATGCCTCAGAGCCAGGAGCTGCTGACCTCTGGCTCCCTGCCCTGGGATACACGCTCACCTGCAGCTCTGCTTGTTCCCTTGACCCGCAGCCACCCCACACCCACCACGCTCCCCAGCTGCGTGCATGTCTGTGAGCCGTGCTGTGTTGCAGGGGGACAGCAGGAAGCTGGAGGACGCTGGCTCGTACCTGGGGCTGCCCTCCACCAGGGGCCCCTCGGAGCCCTGGATCCTCTCTGGGTCCTCGTTCCGCGTGGCTGGGAGCGTGGCAGGCCTGGCCGTGTCAGCCCGGGACAGCTTCCAGATCTCAACGCTCGTCTGCTCCACAAAGCTGACCCAGAACGGTGAGTGCTGGATGCAGAGCAGTGCTGGCTGTGCTGCTGGCAGTGGGCACCAATGAACGATGAGCATAGCCGAGTTCTGTAGTGCTGGAAAAGAAGAAACCTCTTTAAGAGCAAATTCTATAGGAATGGCAGCAGGGAGCACCCCAGGCCGTTGCACCAGGTGTGGAGCAGGCGGTGCTTTGTTCCCTGAGCTCTGATGGGTCGGTGGTGCCAGGGGATGGGGCGGTACGTGGCTGCGCCCCACAGCCCAGCTGTGTGTCCCTATGCTGAGCACGTTGTCCCCGTGCACTGACTCTGCCAGTCCTGGACACCCCCATCTGTCCCTTCCCACCTGTGCCCCACACCAGTGCTGTCCTGGGGAGGGGGTCTGTCTGGCTCTGCTGCCTGTGCTGACTGTGTGTCCTCAGGGGCAGGGAGCAGGACCAGGCCTGCTCTCCTTCCCAAAGAGATGGAATAAATACAGCTTGCACGCCCCTATCCGCAGGGGCTGGTTAGGAAGGGGGCTGCTGTTATCCCCTTGTTACGAGGCAGCAGAGCTGCAGAGTGATTTACAGCCAGGACAGGGGGAGTGCTGGAGCCCTGGGGGTGGCTGGGCTGCGTGCAGCAGGAAGCTCACTGCTGTCACCAGCGGCTGTGGGTTTGCTGCGGAGCCAAGAGCGCGGGGAAAGCAGAAGTGCTGAGTGCTGACGTCCTGCTCTGACATCACCAGTGCTCCCAAGGGAAATGGCAGTCCCCGAGCTGCTGTGGTGTCCCGGGCTCCCAAGGCCATGAGGCTGCTGTCCCCCACATGGGCAGCGCACACGGTGGCCGCATCTCGCCCTGTGGCTGCCATCCCTGCCACGTGGCACCGCTCGCTGCTGCTCTGTGTGCGCTGAAGGCTCAGGGCTGCCACTCAGCATTGCTCTCTTTGTTTTTATCAAGGCTGTCTTTTGGCTTAGCGCTCTCCTGAGCCCTCCTGGGTTAGCAGTGGGTTGTTTTTCCAAGGCAGGGCGGTGTGAGCAGAGAGCTGCAGGCTGCAGGTAGCTGCACGCACTGTGCTGAGCCCAGCCCTGCCGGCAGCCGCAGGCAGCGAGCAGCTTCTTGGCCTGCACCAAGCCCTGCAGATGGTAATTAATCTGCTCACACCCCTGAGGGAGCCGAGCTGCTGCCTTCAGTTTAGGAGCTGGAAGGAGCTGCTGAGTGCTGCTGCTGAATGCTGTGCTGAAATCATGATGGGAATTGGGACGCCGTGTTTTGAAGTGCGATCTGTTGCTGTGTAGTTGGAGCTTTCAGCCCCGAGGTCCTTTGCTCGGTGCACTGAAGTCAGGCCCTCTGAGCACAGACACGTCAGCGTTTAGAGAGGATTTCTGATTCGTACAAAATGGTTTGGGACGCAGCAGCACAGATCAGTGCGGGCAGCCGTGACTGAGGGCTGGCATGGATGCAAACGGCTCCACGTGTGCATGTGAAGCAAACAGAGCCCAGCTGGCAGCGCTGGGTGCCCGCCCTGACAGCTCAGAGCCAGCTGTGCCCTCAGCAGGGCTCACCTCGGGGGCTGTGCAGTGTGTGTGCAGCTGAGGAGCAGGCAGGGCTGTGCTCTGTGCCCCGTGATGGTGTCACTGCTCTGCGCCGGGTCACTGCAGGTGTCAGCAGCAGGAGCGGCCGCCCGTCCCTCCCCAGGGGACACAGGCACACAGACGTGGGTTAAAGCAGACATGGCAGCAGCTGGGCTCTGCGTGCACTCGGTCCATACGGAGGAGCTGCACCGCTGCTTTGCTCCCACACCGCAGTGCCTCCTGTGCAGGGCCGGTGGCTGGGAGCGCTCAGCTGTGCGTGTGCTGCACGCAGTGACACAGCTGGGACATCGCAGCGGGGCTCCCAGTGCTCGGGGTGCTCAGCACAGCACACAGTGACTCAGTGCTGCTGCGCCGATTGGCTTTGGGACCGGTGTGGCTCAGTGCAAGTGGGGTTTGGGGCTGCCGCAGTTCAGCTCATTCTCTTCCTGCAGCGCAAGTGCAGCCCCTGTAGCGCTCAGCCTTCAGTCAGTGGAGTGTGATGTTTCCGTGGGAGTGAAAGCAGGAGGTTTCTGTGCTGAGCAGCCCCTGCACTCAGAGCTGCACGCTGCACATGTGGCAGCTGCAGCCGTGCTTCGCCACTGCAGCGCACAGAGCTGCAACGGTGCTGCTGGCCCTGTGGGCTGCGTGGTGTTGGATTGGTGCTTTGCATACCTGCACCAGGGCTGAGGGCTTGCATGTAATGTGCCCACAGCCCCACTGCGGGTCTGGACCCCTCCCCCCTCATAGAGAGGAGCGGGAGGCAGCCACACACTTCCCCTTTTGCTCTGGGTTCTTGTGCAGAAGTTGGGTGCAGGCTGCAAGTTCTGGAAGGGCTGTGGGGCCCCCAGCCATCCTGTGTCTGAGCCTGGGGGGGGGCAAGGTGCCCCAAAGGGGTGCTGGCAAAGGCGGCCCAGCTGCAGAGCACAAAAGGGGCAGGGTTAGGGCTGGCACTAGGGTTAGGATTAGGGCTGATGTTTGGATTAGAGTTAGGGCTAGGGGTCGGGGTAGGATGAGCAGGGTGGCTGCCCCCTGTGTCCTTTGGCACAGTGCAGTGTTTGGTGCAGGCACAGCTGGCCCCCCCCCCCCGCAGCTCTCCATGTCATTGGGGTGCACGAGGAGCTGCATCTCACCCCTTGCAGGGCGCTGCCTGGGGCAGGATGGTGCCCGGGGTCCCTGATGTGGAGCCTGGGTGTGCACAAAGCTTGTGCTGATCTTTTCTACCTCCCCACAGTGAACTTGCTGGGGCTGCTGAAGTGGCGGGCCAAGCCCAGCCTGCTGGCGGGGAACCTGCAGAAGCTGATGCATGTGGATGGAGGGGAGGTCATCAAGGTAGGAGAGGGGCTGCTGGCTCACAGTGCAGCTGGCAGGTCCTGGAAATGGGGCGGATGCCTCCGAAGGAGAAAAGCTGTGAAGGGACAGCAGCGGCTCTGTGCTGGAGGTCCCTCCTTCTCACAGTGCCGGCAGTGCTGGAGCTCTCACTGCCGTCTCCTTCCTGCAGTTCCTCCAGGACACGTTGGATGCTTTGTTCTCCATCATGATGGAGAATGCGGACACTGACGTCTACGACACGCTCATCTTTGATGCCCTGGTAAGCAGCATCCGTTTCCCAGCCGAGCTTTCAGCACAGGACCCAACCAAGCAGGGGCGCGCTGCCCACCTCGCGCCCGGGTCCCTCCCCGTGTCTGCGCTGGCGCCTGGCAATGCCCCGTGCTGAGCCACGCGGCCTCTCCGCAGGTGTTCATCGTGGGGTTGGTCGCCGACAGGAAGTTCCAGCACTTCAATGCCGTCCTGGAGGCGTACATCCGCCGGCACTTCAGTGCCACGCTCGCCTACAAGTGCGCGTGGAGCACCGGGGCCGCGGCAGGGACGGGGCGGCAGGAGCCGCAGCGGGGCTCAGCACCGGGCGGTGCGGTGAGGAAGCGCCGCGCTCTCCTGACGCGTCCCCATCCCGCAGGAAGCTGATCGGGGTGCTGACCCAGTACGTGGAGCAGGCGAGCCGCGGGGAGCCCTGCGAGCCCCTCCTGCGCACCTTCAAGGCCCTGGAGTACATCTTCAAGTTCATCGTCCGCTCCCGGCACCTCTTTGCCCAGTAAGTGCCACGTGCGTGGGGACGGCGCTGGGAGGAGCCGGGAGGGTCCCGCGGGGTCTCCGTGCGCTGTGGGTGCACGGCAGGAGCCGGGGAGGCTGAGGGTGGAACCCACGGCTCCGGGTGCTGCCGCGTCCGACTGGCCTCGGCTGCGCGCTGCAGCGCCGCGTCTCCTCCCGCGGAGCTTTCGCCCGTTCTCTGCCACGTGCGGGGCTTCCGCCGCTGGTGCGCGGGTCGGCAGCGCTGTTTGTGCCCGGGGAGGGGGAGGCCGAGAGGCGGTGCTGCGGCAGGACGTGCGCTCACGAAGCCCGCACCCCCCGGTGCTGCGGCCCCGCTCTGCCCTGCGGTGCTCCGTGCGGCTCCCGCCGCGACGGCCTCGGGAAATGACATCTCCTCTCGTGTGCGTAAATCACAGCGTCGTGTAAAGTAGGGCCAGAAGGGACACGCAGAGGTCAGAAGTAAACTCCTGCCCCAGGGCGGCGTTGGCCGCGCTTCCGCCGCTCCTGACAGATGGCTTTTGTCAATGCGCTCTTACAAACCTCCCTGCTGCAGACAGCGATGCTCTCCGGGCAGCCGGCGCATCTCGGGGCCCGGCAGCCCGGCACACAAACCCTGCCATCCGCCCCGGGAGCTGGGGGGCGGCCCTCGGGGTCCTCATTCCGGCATCTCGACCCCTCCGCAAAGCGCGGCTCCGTGCCGGCAGCACGAGGGGCTGTGCGGCCCCGCGCCCTCGCGGTGCTGCTGGGAAGCGCACGGCAAGTGGGGGCGGCAGGGCCGTCCAGGACCCGATGTCCTTTGTACCCCGTGGGCGCTGGGTTCCCTTTCTCACCCCTTGGGTTGCGGTGGGACAGACGGCGCCCCCAGCCTGCTGTGCGTGTGGGGGCGCGGATATCAGTGGCGGAAACTTCTGAGAATGCCACCAAGCGGTTGCCAGGAAGGGCAGCTTGTGTTCCTGTTTCATTCCCGGTATGGGGCGCTGAAAGCTCCGCCGCCCCAGCAGCGGGCAGAGGTGATGTGCTCCGAGCAGAGCAGTGCGGGAGGTGGGGAGCACGGTGCTGAGCTGCTGTGCTGGAGGGGCTGCGGGTGGAGGTGGATGCAGTTGGGGGGGTCTGCAAATCAGAGGTGGCTCTGATGCAGGTGGAGGAACCCCCCCGTTTGCTTTGGGTGGAAGGAGAGGGCAAATCCCCAGCTCGTAAGGCTTCTGGCAAAGCAAATTAATTCTGTGAAGCATTTGCAGACAGCTGCATGAATGAGTTAGCGTTAAAATAAAGACATCCCCAAAGACGTGTAGTTTTTATTCATCTTTCCTTGATCTTTGAGATCTCAGCAGTGGAACAACACGGGCTCTTCAGATCTCCCAAGTTCTTTAAACGGTGCTAAATTCCGTACGCAGCCTGTAATGGGAAGAAATTAGATTGTAATTACAACGAGTTGCTGCGCATTGCTGGGTCTGTTGGGTGACGTCTGCTGCAGCCAGAACCAGGCAGTGGCCCTGCTCTGCTTGGGGGGGGCCGTGGGGGGCACTGCTGCTGCCAGGGCTCCTGGTGAGATGCTCTGAGCCCGTGGCTCAGGGACGGACCCCAGAGCACAGCTGCCTGCCTCCTTCCCTGGCCTCATCTCTGGGTTTGGGCTGAGCTCAGCTCCGAGGTGCAGCTCTGGGCTCCCAGAGGGCGGCAGCTGGGAGCCCCGCAGCCACTGGCTGCGTATGGAGTGGGAGGGGGAGCTTCCTTCAGGTGGCCCCAGCTGTGGTTGCACTGCAGTGCTGACCGGGGGCTGCACACAGCAGTCATGCAGTGGCCGCTGTGTTTAAGATCAACCCAGACGCCTCAGCCAAATCGTCAGCGTTATTTCCCTTGGATGCTCCCTTGGGCTCATTTACCAGCAGGGAAAGATGAATCTGAAAGCAGAACAACCCAACTTTAAAAAGCAAAGCTTTTTTGGCAAAAAGCGGGTTCAGCCAAAAAGCTGGAGAGCAGGAATTGCAATCCGGGTCGCTCTGCTGCTGTGTGGGGTCAGAATGCTGGCTGCAAGTCGTGGAGTCATAGAACCATGGAGGGTTTGGGATGGAAGGGATCTTTGTAGGACCATGGAAAGGTTTCTGTCGGAAAGGACCCTAAAGGCCACCCAGTCCCACTCCCTGCAGTGAGCAGCGACTCCTGCAGCTTCATCAGTGCTCAGATCCCCATCCCCTGACCTTGGGGGTCTGCACGGATGGGGCACCATCACCTCTCTGGGCAACCAGTGCCTCACCAGCCTCGGGTTTCCAGCTGAGGTGGAGAAGGTGGTGGAGTCCATCCCTGGGGCTGTTGAGATGGAGCTGTGGCCCTCGGGGACACGGCTCAGTGTGGGGGGCAGCGGTGGTGGCACAGGGTAACCTTTGGCTGTTGCAGGCTCTACGAGGGGAAGGAGACGGCCGAGTTCCAGCGCTCGCTGCAGCGACTCTTCCAGACCCTGAACCAGCTGATGAAGTCCCCTCTGGAGGGGCCCACGCTGCTCTCCCAGGTATGGCGGGGGACTCCGGCTCTGGTCCAGGTGGTGGGGTGAGGTGGGATGGATGATGGGTGAATGGATGGATGGGTGGAAGGATGGATGGATGGATGGATGGATGGGTGGTGGATGGATGGATGGATGGATGGGTGGATGGATGGATGGATGGATGGATGGATGGATGGGTGGTGGATGGATGGATGGATGGGTGGATGGATGGATGGATGGACGGATGGACGGATGGAAGGATGGGTGGATGGAGGGATGGATGGATGGATGGATGGATGGATGGATGGATGGATGGATGAATGGACGGATGGATGGGTGGATGGATGGATGGATGGATGG